GCATATTCGAATTTCACATAAATTTTTTTTAATTAATATGTAAATAATTTTAATGTGTTAAAAAAAAAAAACCTACAAAATCAATCTCTTTCCAGGCAAGCTATATAGTATAATAATCAATTATAATTTCACACATCTTCCCGCAAGGAATTTACCACCTTAGTTGTATAATAATCAATTATAATTTTATACATTATTAAAAGTAAATACTCATACACCTGATTTTTTGAGCCAAGTAACTTTCGAATTACTTTGAAGGTGCACTTCTCCCCTTCCATGGTGGTTTCGAACTTACCCTTGTCAACTTGCTCAAAAAGAAAAAATACCCCTAATGATTCATCAGTACGTGTGAGTATGCATAATGATTCATGCAGGTCAGGTAAATAAAAATATGTCTTGCTTTATTATTAATTTGTTTACCTGTTAAATTTTCATTAATCAGTTACATTCTAGATTTTTTTTTTCCTTTTGACAATTGACTTCCTTGAAGAAAAAAAAAAATACCCCCTTCAATCTAAAATAACGAGACAAAATTAAATTAAACCCGAAAAAAAGGGGGAAACAATGATATTAATCTCTTAATCCTGCTTTCCAATTTTATTACAAGACGTAGGGAAAAAGTTTATCTCTCGACCTCTCCACAAACAGCAGTACACAGACCTATACAATTTCAAAATATAAAAATATTTATGCCAATTGCCTCGAGAGTAACTCAATTGGTTAAAACCTTTTGAAGGAATGCGAAGAATTTAAGGAAAGAGAAGAGTTATATCCTTTTATATGGCCTTATGTTCCAACAAAAAAGTATTCATGCCTTGTTATGCTGATGTTGATCTCAATCCTTTCAAGAGAATCGATGTTTGTACGTCAGTTGCAATTTTACAGATTTGGTTACGGTACAATTGTTAGTGTATCTCATGGGGAGGCGGTAAGATTTCTGCATGACAGGAAAGAAAACATGCCCGATTAATTAGAAGCACTCCATGCATGAACGTTTCAAACAGTAATCTAGAGGGGCAGCGGAAAACATAGTCGAACTCCAATGAAGTTACCTGAACGCTGGAAAATAGGTTCCTCATCCAACATGCAGCGCAGCAAACTTATTCATCAAAGGTCCAGCTCCTGACCTTGTTGGATTGATGGAGTACTCCCTGGCCAAAGAAAATTAAGTTATTTTGCTAACTGGTCTTACAACATGTGAACAAGGTAGTGACCAAGAACAAGGATGGTGAGGTCTTGATTTGCTAATCTAGAGCTTTGAGTAATAATGTTCTTCTTCTAAGGTTAAGAAACCATATCATATAGAGCTTTGACAGCAGGAGGAGACTGACCTATACTCTCTTTATAGTTCAGAATATTCATGCCAACTAATATTATCAGATAACAAATTGTAAAAGTTCTTTTAAAAGTTAATGCTGACCTCAATCATCTCAAAAGAATCCCATAGTGGTGTCCTATTTGAATGGGATGATCTACAAGCGTTGGTTGCTTTTTAAAGATTTGATTACAGTATGAATGTGTTTCTCATGGGCAGGCACAAAGATTTCTGCATGACAGGAGAGAGCATATGAGTAAATTAAAAGCATTTTAAGCATGAGAATTTCATCCAGTAATCTAGAGGCACAAGGGAAAAAATTGTCAAGCTTTGATGAAGTTACCTTCACATTGAAATATGGGAACCTGGTCCCATTTGCCGCAGGGCAGCAAACTTATAGCTCAAATGTCCAGCTCCTCCCTTGTTGGATTGATGGAGTACTGCCTGACCACAGTAAAGTTAGTTATAATAAGAAAACTATAGGAAAGAACGGCATTCAATTTGAGAATCATAACATATATATAGATGGTACAACTAGAGGCATTTTATCTTTTAGAAAACAGTAAAAGTTGACCATGTTCCTCAAGCAACTAACATGAACAGAGTAAAGTTTTGCCATAAGAAGATGCAAATCCCAGAACATTAAAGTTATAGTTTGGTTCCTTTAACAGTGCAGGACTTGTTGGGAAATAAACTCAATGCCATGCAGTGTCTGCATGTGCTGCTTAGATTGGGTTTCACTCAGATAATGATTTTACAAAAGAACTTTACCCACTATTTTGCTTTTATACCCCCAAACTTGAGCAATGCAGGCAAAATAGTTTCACAATCCAATTCACAAATCTTTGCATCCCTAGCAGATAAACTTCAATAAAAAAGATCCAAATTAAATAAATAAAGTTAGGTACTTAAAATTTAAAAATGAAGAAGATAGGCACTTGCCTCATTATTTTCACTTGAAATTGTTATCTTCATGAGGTACAACTGCTGCCCAGAAAAACAATCAAGTATCTATGCTTCTCAACAAAAAGGTGCTCCATAATTGACGGTAGTAGAAATGCTTCTATGTAATCAAGAGCACCTACTGATTCATATTCAGATGGCATATGAGGATGCAAATTAAAATCTCATGTTCCATCAAGACCCTCAATTAACATTGAATATGTATGAGAATGAAGCTGGCAGCCCCTTTTTTCCATGATGCTTAGCAGTTCAGAGCATTTATCAGCAAGGCCCTTCTTAAGTAAGCCATCAATAAGGATTTTCCAAGCTACTTCATCACTGTTATATCCACAACAAAGCAAGTTAACAAAAAGTGCATCAGCCTTCTCTTTGTTCCCTTCATCGTAAAGCCCACAAACCAGCAGCTTGCAAGACTCAAGATGAGGTAACTGACCACTATTGGTCATAAGATCCACCATTCCCACTGCTGCATCATACATTCCCAACTTGCAGCTACAATTAAGGAGGGAGTTACAGATATCTTCATTGGGAGATAGTCCTTGTTCTTGCATATGATCAAATAACAACATGCCTGTCTCAAAATGCCCCACTTTGCAAAGTCCAGTGATGAGCTTGGCATAAGTATTGACATCTGGTGTACAACCATGTTCAAGCATTTTATCGAACAACTCCAAAGCAGTGTTAAAGTCCATCATGGTCCACACATTAGCAAGATCAACTAAGTTGGCATTGTTTTCTTTTGTCCACTTTTTCTTTGAAAGGTGCTTAATTAAGAAAGAATACGTATAATGAGAAGGCTCACAGCCAGCATCAAACATGCGCTTGAGAACATCAAAGGCAGGATGTATCAGTCCCAAGCATCCATATGCATCAACCAATAAGGTGTATGCCAGAGAATCTGGCACAATTCCTTCTTCTTTCATCTTAATCATCATATTCTCTGCTTCTTGCAACTTCCCTACACCACAATATGCATGAATAAAAGTAGTGTAGGTAAATAAATCAGGGTGACATGCTCCAGAAGTCATGTGATCTAAAACCTTAAAAGCATGGTCAAAGTCACCTTCTTTCAAGATCTCCCTGATGAGAATCGTACAAGTATCTACTCTTGGCTCTACACCCATACTTGCCATTTTTTCAACCATAGAGAAAGCCTCTTGCAGCTTTTTCTGTTTGCATAACCCATCTATAAGGGCATTGTAAGTGTATGAATTCGGCGAACAGTCCTCACTAAGCATTCTGTCAAACAATGAATGTGCATCTTCAATTCTCCCAACCTTACAGTAACCATCAATCAAAGAGGTATAAATAACTTCATTGGCACTTAAGCCTTGCCCCTTGAGAGAATCAAACAAAACACAAGCTTCCTCTACCCTATCACTTTTACATAGAGAATCTATGAGAACACAGTAAGTCCACTGATCAGGAACCAGATCATTCCTACCCATCAACTTAAGCAACCTAAATGCACTGTCTAAATGACCTGCTCTACATTGCCCACAAATTAACAAATTATATGTGATTAAATTTGGTGACAGCTTGAGCTCAAGCATCTTTGTGAGTAGTGACATTGCCTTGTGCACATTCTTCTTCTTACAATACCCAGATATCAACTCATTATATGTCTGATCATTTGGACTACAATTATTCATTTCCATCATACCAAAAACTTCAAGTGCCTCCTCAAGTAAACCCTTCTTACAATACCCATCAATCAAAGCATTATATGTCACCACACTTGGAGCTAGCCCCTTCTCAATCATCTTATCTAACATTCCTCTTGCATCATCAAGCTTACTTTGTTTACATAAACTATTGATGAGCACAGTGTAAGTATGAACATTTGGCACACATCCTTTCTGTGACATCTCCTTAAACAAATCCATTGCTTCTGATTTCCTCCCTACCTCACACAGTCCATTAATCAGCACAGTATACGTACGAACTGTAGGATAACAATGATCCTCCTCCATCTTCGAGAACAAATTAATAGCCTCATCAATACGCCTTGCCTCACAAAGACCATGTATAAGATTTGTATACGAAACTTCATTTCTAGGACAACCCTTTTGTGGCATGACCTTAAAAACTCTATATGCATTATCTACATCCTTATTCCTGCAATGCCCCAATATCAAGGATGTATAAGTAAAAGAATCAGGTTGCAATCCCGCCTGCTCAATCTTGCTCACATATAACTGAGCCTCTACCACATTCCCAAGCTTACAATACCCATTAACCATGGTATTCCAGGTATAAATATTCGGCAAAACCATATCTTTCAACATTTCCATATAAACACCCTTCATTTCATCAATCATAAGGAATTTCGCCAAAGACATCAATAGCATATTGTAGCACCTAACAGTGAGCTTAAACCCATCACCCCCATTATTATTTTCCTTCATTTTTCTTAAAGAATCCAAAACAAATAGGCATTCCTCAGCTGAATCCGAGGACTTAATCATGAAAATGCTAATCTTATCAGCTGCACCAAAGAATTTGTTAATGAGAAGAACGTTTATGAGGGAGGAATAGGAGTAAACAGTGTGTTTGAACCCAGGTTTTCTGGAGACCCAATATGAGAAATCGAGGGCTGTTTGTGGATGAATATTGGGATTGAGAGTGAACAGAGAGTGGACGACTGACGGTGATATAGACTGAACTAACTTCGAAAGGGAAGGATGTTTCTGCCAATTGGGATAAGAAAGAATGGAGATGAGCTGCGTAGGGATCTCCTGATCGGGAGGCTCTGGGTCAGCCGGAAGAGATGAAGTGAAGGAGGAGAAAGGTCTTCTGAGGCGGATGGAGAGAGAACGGAGGGACTGACCTGACATGATAATGGCTGCCAGATTCCTCATCGCAGGGGATCGGATAGTGGCGGTAGGGCATGGAGGCGGCGGAGTTCTGGTTTGAATTCCGAGGGAGCTGCCGTAGTGAAAGATGGGAGCACCGAGCACCTAGCCAGCCGCCATACCGGAGGTTCGGGAATTGGTGTGGTGGTGTAGGGCTTGGACCTTTATTAGGGTTGTGGACTCTAATCGTATTTGGGCCTTACAGTTTTGGGCAGCCCACAGTCCTAATTCGTGAGGAGTGAAGACTTTTGAAAAGTATGAAAATCAGGACGCCTTGGTTTTTTTTGGTACAAATCAGGACGCCTTGGTGGTAAGACGTTTATCACAATTGTTAAATAAGTAGTTCTTGGTTCGAATCCACAAAATTAACAACTGTGATGTATGTCCTAATTTTCTGCAACCCTTTCTCTTTTTATTAGATGGAGGAGTGAAGACTTTCTCTTTTTATTATTTTTATCCCTGCCTTTTACAGCTTTTTACAAGCTTGTTTATGTAGATGTAAATGGTGAAGAAAAAAAAGATGAAAATATCATGTGGATACCTCCAAACTGCATTTGAGATTGTTGTGTAAAATACGTTTTTTTCAACTAAAATAAAATTTATTTAGGAAACATATAAAACAACTTTATATTATAAATAAAGTCTTATAACCATACATAATACTATCAAATACAAATAGAAATGGAGAAAATAAAGTGTACACCAATTTCAAAATCACTTTAATATTAAGGAAAAATGGGGAAAGTATCATATGATAATCATTAAAAAATAATTATTATTCACATATTCTTTTGATTATATTGTTTAACTCAACTAAATACTTTTTGATCTTTTATTAAGATAAATTAATGGGATCTACACAATACCATAGCTTGAGCACTCATTAACTCAATACACACAAATAGTTAAAAAAAAATTTGGTTTCTTCCTCTTCATCTCCATATATCTTCCAATCAAACTTAAAGAAACTTCTAGAAGGCAAAAGGAGATAAAAGGAAAAACTGTGGGGAAGGAATCAGACTAGATCAAGGTGAAATATTACTAGATCTACAAGAAAACAACAAGATGAAAAGTTAAAGGAAATAAGGGAAAGGACGAATGGGGAGAAAGAGGGTAAAAAAAATAAAAGGAAGAAAAGAAGGAAGAGACATGAGGACCAGAGAAAAGGGAAAAGAAGGAAGATCTACGGTAGGAAAGGAGAAGGAAAGGCAGATAACATAAATGAGGAAACAGAAATTAATCGAATAGCACATAAAGGGAAAGAACACCCACACGCTCAAGAAGCTACTAGAGAGCTCCTTGTATAATGCGTTTATATATATTCGTTTGGTAAATTGACAAGATTCACTTTACATAAAAGCTGTACGCATGAACAATAATTATTAAATGTTCATGCAAAAAACAATAATTATTAAATATTAAAAATATTAGTAATGGAATTTTCAAGGTGAAAATTAAAATCACAATGACATGATCTTTAACACA